GCTGAAAGAATGGTTTGCAGTACGCATGTGCTGAAAGAATGGTTTGCAGTGCGCATGTGCTGTATGAATGGTTTGCAGTGCGCATTTGCTTTAACGACGATTTGCAGTGTGCATGTGTTGTAGTTGATTATTTTCATTGAGTATGTACTGGAGCGATGTTTTTCAGTTCATATTTGCCAAATGCTGTGCTGTAAGATATGCTTAAGACTACTTTTCATTTCATTCTAGCACCTCCTATATGACACTCCAACCCCTTCTCTAAGGGTGGCCGGCCAAGTCTAGGAAGACGTCAACCCTACCTGATCATCGAATGGAAAGTAAGTCACGTCTATAGTGCATGAACTTTTGAATATCGTAGGATAAAACCATCCAATACCGCCATCCTCGTTTACAGTAAGACCGTAGTACTCTTCTTTTTCTTTGTCATAGTTATCGTTTGCACTTGATGAAGCAATACAATAATATTAGTTAAAATAGGAGRAATATTCTTAAATCTTCTAACTTTCGTTCGTGCGTTTGGTTTTATCTCYTTTTATCATTGGCATTGCGAAGAAAGACTTAATGTATCAGATTTTTCTTATGGTAYTGGAGGTCCTACGTAAAGCTTATCCCTCCCACTCCCCCAAAAGGATTCGGCCAATAAGATTTTATGTTATATCTGTTCACCCGACCAATCAGTAAACACGATAGAATACGTACTTGTTATATARAGTAATGTCCGGCGTCCATAGTTTCCTTGATGACGTCACAAATGATTTGATACCACCATAGTCRGTACCATTCCACCGCAGTCGGAAATCAGACCAGTACTAATTATATTAACAAAAGAAGAGTGGTTTTAATAGAAATGCGTTTTCAGCTGCCTTGTAGGCAAAGCATGCGTCATCTGGTCTTGGGTAACGAGTGCAGTACAGTGACCCCGCTATTGCGAACGCCTTGTCATTACGGACACTTAAATGAATCCCCTCTGCAAACCAGTTACTGAAAACACTTCATTATACCGAGCGTTCGGTATTGCCGGACACTTTTTAGCGTGTCTTTCTCCCACTGTAAAACATGCTGTGACGTCATAATGCAACAGGACAATTTAACKATTGCACATGCTCTGTTAACAAAACAGTTTTTTGTATATTGATTATTTGGAAAAGAAATTTGAGATTTCATATCTTCTTAGCCTCTGTACCATGCTGTTTTTCTTTAAARGTGATGACTAAAGATGATTTTTAAAATGTTTCTCACATCAAAAGACAACAACAACACTAAAAACGGTCTCATCGTCAGGGGTCCTGGCACTTATGACCATGCATGACAGCGAGTTTGTCACGAARCATTACCTGTGTTATAAAATCTAGTCCTAAAAGCTGCAATTTTATAACGTTTTTATTGCGTGGTCTTTGAGCACATTCAATTCAAATTTACTCCAAGCTTAAACGAACATTTTTTAACTCGGTCCCCTCGCTACCCTAGTAGTGCGAAAAGATGCTATGCTCCTTTCAGTGCATTGAGAATTTTCATGCTTTTATACAAACTTTATTAAAACTTGAAGTATGTTATGTTTTGTTTTAAAAACCAAAAGCGAAAAATAACAAAGAAAGCACAGAATAATATTTTTTTTTCATTTTTTTCGTGACTAGATTTTAATTGATTTAAGGAATAAAAGACGAAATTCCGTGTTTGATACTCTGATCAAAACACGCGGGATGTAGGGAGAGCACGAGAGAAGCGTAGGAAACCACGACGCGTAGCGGAGTGGTTTCCAGCTTTTCGAGTGCTCTCCCTACATCCCAAGTGTTTTGATCAGAGTATCAAACACGAAATTTCGTCTTTTATTTCTTTTCTAAAATTAAAAGAATACAAACGGCGGGAAAAAGAAATTTTTGACGCGCGCGAGCGTGTTTTGATACTGTAATCAAACATGGTTTTCGACCAATCACAGCGCGCGTAGTATCCTAAATATTTTAGAAAACAAATTATGAATGAAAAGCGTCATGAACAAACATTTTATATCTTCAAATTCGTTCCTAAATGACAAATAAAAGATCTCCTACCGCTATTCACATTTTTAAATTAGATCCCTGATAGGAGTACTAATCCTAGTTTCTGACTTTTTTCCCTTCATCTGTATCTATTTTTAGCTTTGTTTTGGGTAGCAAATCCCAGGGCAAGCCCAAAAAGATCCTATCTTTCCAGCCCATGTACAAATATATCTCAGACCGACGAGATGCAAGTTCAGGTTGCATTCAAACTCATTTTAAGAGATAAATGGAAAGTTATGAACATGGCCGGACAAATTTGAGGAGAATCCTCCCACGTTTTCGTATCGTTAAGGTCACAACGTTACAATCTCAATTCCTATTTCTCCCCTTAGGGCCTTTTCGTGGTCACTTTTCGTGACCAAATCTGAATTGATTAGCAACTGCATTATATATTTAAGCGTCATCGATTAACTAATCATTTATCTTAGGTGCACTGAGATACTCATCTTTAGCAAATCAAGAAAATTTAGCTTACCACATTTTGTAAATATTTTAAACGAACAAACAAATATCATATCTAATTTCGGTACTTTCTACACAGCAAAAGCTGTGCCATCTRATTCGGTCTCTAAGGAAACCTGAGTGGTTTTGATGAACCAGTGAAATATACTTTAGCATACTCGTTATTTTGCACGTTCTTTTCATCTTTTTGKTTTATCACACATTACTGCAATTTGACCATTACAATTAGTTGTTTCACGGGTTTGGAAAACCACTCTAGTTCACGGATATATATGGACTGAAATCAATAAAAATCGAGAGAGAGTGACAGAGAACCATGCGTGTTTCCTGGCTTGTAGTTCACTTATTGTATGTTTTGCTCTGCACTAATGCGTATTGAGCACTGTTCAACAGCTTCAGCTACAATTTCACTCGACTAAAAATCGAGTAAATGCATGATTTTATCCTTATTTCTTACAAAATATACTTTCTATTTTCACAGTGATAGTAAAAATTCATCTTAGATATCGAAAATTTTTTTCCCTTTCCCACAATTTGTTAATGTTTAAAATGCGCAAATTCAATTTACAGAATTAATTATATCCTTCCCTGCTGTTATGTGAAAACAGTCACCGTGTATGACGCGTGTCTTTATTATAGATTTACATGTATTGCTCATCAGTAAAAAAACGATCTTAACATGAGCTCCCTATGTAACTCCCCTTTTTTATCCCTTTTTACCAAGGTATTGCTCGAGGTTTACAGGCTCTATACACATAAAAACAGGATGGGAGGAGGGTGTCATTTCAAAAATCCCCTGCTAACATTAGTGCAGTTTTTGAAACATTTCGTAAAGTGATCCTTCAAGATAGCAAAAGCGCATTTTTTGGTGCCTTTCTCCCAAGTGATTTCAAATTACTTTATATATAGATAAGCTAAGAACTGATGA